TTCCACTTTAAAAAACACATTTTGTCTTAATTTTTTTTTTTTTTCTTAAGCAGTTAATAAAAAAGTGTCCTTGTTTTTGAGCTGATCTAAGTTTGGGAACACCAGTCTTGAATTGCCACAATGTGTTCCACGGTCAAATGCATTTAGAAAACTCTGAGGTGGGCTGGTTCTTACTTGGATTCTTTTGATTATTGAAATAAGGTTTGTTGGTTTTGTAGGTCAAACTTTTTCTCTAAAGGGCCAGGTAGTAAATATTAGGTTTTTCAGGCCATATAGATAGTTTCTGTCGCAACTACTCAATTCTGACATTGTGGTGTGAACTGTGAACAAATAAATAAAATTATTTATGGACATTTTAATTTCATATTTTCACAAGTTGTGAAGTATTCGTTTGGTTTTTTTTCAACCATGTAAAAATGTGAAAACTGTTCTTAATACAAGTGTGGTACAAAAACAGGCAGCAGGCTAGATTTGGCCATGGGCTGTAGTTTGCCAACTTCTGTAGTTTGCCAACTTCTGCTGTAGGTTATTGATTGGAATTTTTAAACCAGTAAAAGAAGAAATATTTTTACTTTTTTTATTAGCATGTGTCCAAATTCTTAGGATATTTGGTCATTTATATATATATTTTTTTGTGCCTCAGGAGTGACTGTGAAGAAAACGAGGTATTTCCCTGAGGCCTGTATCCTGCCTTGATTGTCTTTTTTTGGAAGTATTATAAGTCAGGATGTCTGCACAGTCAGTGGAAGAAGATTCAATACTTATCATCCCAACTCCAGATGAAGAGGAAAAAATTCTGAGGGTGAAGTTGGAGGAGGATCCTGATGGCGAAGAAGGATCAAGTATCCCCTGGAACCATCTCCCTGACCCAGAGGTTTTCCGACAGCGATTCAGGCAGTTTGGATACCAGGATTCACCAGGGCCCCGTGAAGCTGTGAGCCAGCTTCGAGAACTTTGCCGTCTGTGGCTCAGGCCAGAGACACACACAAAAGAACAAATCTTGGAGCTGGTGGTGCTGGAGCAGTTTGTTGCCATCCTGCCCAAGGAGCTGCAGACTTGGGTTCGAGAGCATCATCCAGAGAATGGAGAGGAGGCAGTGACGGTGCTGGAGGACTTAGAGAGTGAATTAGATGACCCTGGACAGCCGGTGAGCCTGCTTGTGTCACTTTCCTGGGTCAGAAGCACTCTCATAACAGTAGGCAAAGCTGCTGAAATAACTCTACTCAACTACAGTATATGTTTTATATGGTTTCTCTTATGTGCATTTAGCTCTGATTTTCATTAAACTTATTAACTGAATCACATCTTATTATTTCCAGGTTTCTCTCCGTCGGCGAAAACGGGAAGTGCTCGTTGAAGAGATTGTATCTCAAGAAGAAGCTCAGGGATTACCAAGTTCTGAGCTCGATGCTGTGGAAAACCAGCTCAAGTGGGCATCCTGGGAGCTCCATTCCCTAAGGCACTGTGGTGAGGACCAGAATTCCATGTGGGCTAGAGGATGAAAGAGTGTGGGACTTTTGTCCAGAACCCTTTGCTTATTCTTGTGTGTCGGGGGGTTGGGGAGATGGATTATCATCATCACCTGAGTTCTTAGATCAGACACACTGGGAGCTTGATTCTTTTCTCATAACAATTGGTTTGTTGACCTCAGGTGGTTTTTTTTCCTAGACATTAACATCAGCCTTTTCTTCCATTTTACCTCTTGAAGATCTGCCCTTTTCAGGCTGGCATTTGCCTTACTCTGAGCCAGCACCTACCTATAGATACCAGGTCTCTATTTTGCATGCAGTATTGCTTATTTGTCATCTGTTCCATGTCCTTTGAATCTTCTGCCTAATCTTACTGGTACAGTAATCGTACCTGAAGCTTCTTCAAGTCTATTCTTTTTTATTTGCTGTTTATCACTGAAGTCTTTCTAAATTTTCAGCTGTTTTTGTTTTTTCTTCAACATCCTATATAGAGTCTTTTTTTTTTCAAAGAAGGCTCTTTTATAGAAGTGATACTTGGGTAAAACTCTTCACCTTTTCTAAATATGCAAAAATATGTTNTTTTCATCGCAAAAATGCGTCATGACTTTTCCGACAACCCAACAAATAGGGGATATAAATAAGAACCAAATGAAAATTTTAGAGCAGAAAAATACAACAACCAAAATGAAATGTTTACTGTATGAGCTCAATGGAAGAATGCAGGTGACAGAGGAAATAGCTATAGATGAATAGAAATTAGCCTATTTAAACACAGAGAATAAAATATTGAAAAAAAAAAAGGCATTACAAAAAAACCTACAATCCAAAATCCTTAATGAACTTAGGTAAAAAAGAAAAATCCTCAACAAAATATCAAATTGAATCCAGCAATGTGTAAAAAGAATAAAACACCTGCACCAAGTGGGATTTATCCGAAGACTATAAGCTTGGCTCAGTATTTAAAATCAAAGTGATCTACCAGATCAGTAGTTTCAAAAGGAAAAACCATATGGTCATCTCAATTGATGCAGGAAGGTATTTGACAAAATGCAAAAGGTAACACCCAGTACTGGTGAACATGTGGAGCATCTGGAACACTCGCTGATGGGACTGGAAAATGATGCAGTCAATCTGGAAGACAGTCCGGCAGGTTCACATAAAAATAAGCATATACTTACCATATATATTACCTCCAGCTGCTATAACAAAACAGCATATACTGAGTGGCTTAAATAACAGGAATTTAGTTGTACAGTTCTGGAGGTTGGGAAGTCCAAGATTAAGATACCAGCTGATTTGGTTCCCAGGTTAGGGCTTTCTTCCCGGTTTGCAGACGACCATCTTCTCCCTGTGTCCTCACGTGGTGGAGAGAGATAGAAGCAAAAATTTTCTCTCTGTGTGTCTTCCTTTAAGGGCACTAATCCCATCATAAGGGTCCTACTTTGTGACCTTATCTAAACCTAATTACCTACAAAGGGCCCATCTACAAACACCATCATATTGGGGGTTAGGGCTTCAACATGGGAATTTGGGGGCAGGCGCAAACATTCAGTCCCTAACACTGTATGACCCAGCAATCCAACTTCTAGATATTTAGAAAAATAACTTTTATGTTCACACACAAAACCCTGTCCATTAGTATTTAAATAGCTCTCTTCATAACCACCCAAATCCAGAAACAACCCAAAAGTTCTTTAATGGTTGAATGGATGAACAAACTGTGATACCTGTTGTAAAATACTACTCAGCAATACTCAGAAATAAAATGAACTATCGAGACATGCAACAACATAGATGAATCTTAAAGTCATTATGCTGAATGAAAGGTTAAAGGCATTATGCTAAACGAAGGGTGTGTAAAAGGTTACATACTTTATGATTCCTTTTATATTACATTCTGGAAAGGTCAAAACTATTTTGATGGATAATAAGTCAGTGGTTGCCATGCGTTAGGGATGTAGGAAAGTTGTGAGTACATCCTGAGGGAATTTTATGAAATGATGGAACTATTCTATGTCATGATCTTGGTAGCAGTTTCATAAATTTATACATGTGTTAAAACTCACAGAGTATATGTCCAAAACAGCCAATTTTACTGTATGTTAATGTTTTAAAAGTAGAACTCCATAAAATAGCAAACAAATAATAGAGCAAATAAAGCAAAAAGCTGATTCTCTGTAAGATTAATAAAATTTATAAACTTCAAGCAAAATTGATAAAAAAGAAAACCAGAAATCACCAATTTCAGAAACAAAAGAGGGGGACATCACTACTGGTCCTATAGACATTAAAGGGATATTAAGGAAATATTATGAGCAACTTTATGCCAATAAATTTGACAATGTACATGAATTAGATAAATTTCTTGAAAGACACAAACTACTTTCCTTACGTCCCATTGACCAGAATTAAGTCATATGGCCATTCCTAGTTTCCAGGGAGACAAAGTGAGTACCTGGCAAATGTAATGGTCATGGATGGCTTAGTTCTATCACAACTTATTACCTATGGCTGGGCACAGTGTTGCCCCCTCCCAATTAAAAAAAATCAGGGTTGTATCAGAAGTTAGGGGAGTGCTTTATATAGGAAACTACCAATGCCTGCCACAGTTAGATTTTCATCACTTGCAATCAGCAGACTCCTGGTGCAGTGCATTTATCAGCTAAAATGGAATCTTTAACCAGCGTACTTAAAGTGCATAAAGGGAGATACTTTTGAGCTGAGTGGGGGGACTGAGAACTCCACAATAGTTGTTAGAGAAAAGCCTAGAAAAGATTATTCTTGGATAAAACCTGATAACACCAAATCTGAAGGTCTGTGCTTTTCTTCCAAAGTGAAAATTTTTCTTCCCTCCTTCCATCTCAGGTTGCCTCAGTTCCCCCTCAGCGCACAACCTTATTTAAGTGCCCCTGCTGATATTTTGTTCTTCTCTACTGTAGCATTTCTCCACTGCCTTGTATATACGTGTTTTCTTGTCTATCTCCTTAATGAGGTGATGCTAAAAGAAGGAATCGTGACTTCATTTTAGTCATCTTTAGTTCTCTGGAGCCTATGTAGTATCTGTTTTTTGTTTATTTGTTTGATTGTTTTTTTGTTTGTTTGTTTCATTAATGAATAAACTGCTTTTATGGCAAGGATGACAAATTTGACTGGTAAAGAAACAATGAGGCCTTTTTAGATTTAGACAGATTATTAACACAGACAGTGAAAGCAAGACTAGCCAAAACAGCCAGCTCCTCATGAGCTTGTGTCTCACACCCAAAACCAAAGGAGCTAGACCATTACAACCTGAGTTGTGGAATGCCTTGGTACTGAGGGGCTAATGCCGCGCTGCATCTAAGCCTTTTTGTAGCCTTTTTATCTGCAGCTGTACTGTAGGGGAGGGTGAAGCAGAAAGCCTTATCACAACCCAGGAAGAAACTGTCTCATGACAACCTCCTTGGAGGACAGGGAACTGAGTGGCAAATGGCCTTGTAGCAGCTCCTTACAGGCCTTTCATGTTCTCCTGTTCCGGAAGGATCACAAGGTGTTCGGCCAAGACTCAGATTAGCTGCGGTTCAAGTCTTGCCTATGTGGCCTATGCAGATATATGCAAGGTTATCCATCACTGGCATGAAGCTATTCCTTACACTCAGGTTGCCCAGAGGAACAAGACGCTCTGTCTTAACCGGATCTTTAAGATGGCAATGAGGACCATCTTTTGGATAAGAGCCCACATAGTGGGGCTCAGAACGATAGTGTTTCAAAGTGGATGTTGGTCTCTGTCTTCAAAAGAGTAAATTAGAGAGGAAAACCTCATTGTGGTTTCCATTTACTCTCTTAGAAAAAAATAGGAAACATAGAAAGGGATCCCAGCAAAGGGTTTTGTAAAAGTTTGCAACATTTTAAATTTCCTTAAGTATTTCTATTTGATTTTTAAAAATCTTTCCTGTTTTCCAACATTAATTAGATGTAAAAACTCTTAACGTAAAATAAAACAAAAGTGCCTCGAGCTAGCCTTTAGGGTCACAAAAGAGGGAAAGGTAGGAAGAGCACCCAAGTGAGTTGGTGGCAGTAGCCAAGTAGGAGAGTGAAGCCTGGATTTCTGAAGGCTCCTAAATGATCAAAGAAAGAAGAGGATCAGAGTTAGCAGGGGTTCTGTGGAGAGGAAGTTCCAGTCAGAGAGTAAAGTACTGTTTTATCATCAGCTGCTTGCTAACTTGTTCTCTCATTCACAAATCCATTGGAGGCTGAGGGTACTTTGCAGAGGTGGCTTTCCTGAATGAGGCAAAAAGCCACAGCCTGCAGATCTTGCACTGCTTCTGGAAGGCTGGAACTACACTTCAAACACAGACCTGAAACAACAGAGATCTTTTGTGTGGTTTCTGACGCTTGACATGTGACCTAGCAAAGGCAGCAATGTGGCCAGCCCACAATTCATTCATTTATTCAACAAATATTTATTGAGTTTTCTTTGTACCTGGCCGTCAGCATCCTAGGATTAGATGGGGACACCCCAGTGAACAAGACAGACAAGTTCCCTGCCCTTATGGGACTTACAGACAAAAACAAAAAAAAACCAGGGTGAGATTACCTCAGATGGTGCTGTAAAGGCTGCCAGGAGGAAAGGTGGTCAAGTGAGACAGGACCCTGGGCCATGGTGAGCCTAGGCTGAGGTCAGATAGGAAGGTAGGGAACAGACCACAGGGGCCCTTGAAGGTGGATGTAGAGTTTTTATGTTATATTTAAGGCAGTGGGGAATCCATTGAAGGCCTTTAAATAGGAAATGAAGTATTCTGATTTACGTTATTAAATGATCACTTCAGCAACTGTTTTGTGGTATAAAATGTCCAGCCTGAAGTCAGATGACCGTGTATTCTGCAAATTCAATGTTAGATCATTGCCAAAGCTCTAACATGTCTCATCTTGTTTCCCTAATAGATAAATTGGTCAAAATAAAGCTCTGTAGCATACATAGCCAGTGGGAGCCAAAGGTTGGAGTCCTGTTTTGGTTTCAAA